TCTACATCTTTATTTAGAAAAATTGCTTCCTTTTGTTCGTGTCCATTGCTGAAGCCTTTTAAAGTTTTTTATGTTACCGTTTTTAGTTGAGAGTTAAGTCCCTTTAGTGGGTACAGGCGTGATATTATATTGTGTGATTGTGTAAAGAATGCTTAGATAGGCGATAGCAGCAATCGCGGTTGATTTGCTGTCATTTATTGAAGAGTGCCGCCGATTTCTCCAAGATCCCATCATCAGATCCTGATCTGACCATCATCAATTACCATGGGATTATCTGGAAAATATATCCTTTCAAACAAAAAAGATCATCTTCGACAAAAACCAACGAATTGAGAACCACCTCCTTTTTTCGAAGTCGGTTAAAAAGTAGGTAAAAACAAATCAATGGAATTATTATATAATAACAACATCTACTTAAGTTCACATAAGAACTTTCATAATAACAACTAAGTACATAAATTGGGTTCATAATAATTACGTTTCACACAGCAGATCCTAAGTTATAATAACACCAATTTGTTTTCTCTCTAATTTCTTTTTTAAAATACGTTACCCCCACTGTAGGATTTTCTCCAGTATCGTGGAGGCAGTTTACAAACATAAATTGCACAAGGACAAACATCCAGACCCGGAACAACTATTTGTAGGCCATACAAATATTTGTTCCGTGCGGGATACGAACCCGCGGCGCCCAGCGCAGCCTCATTGCTAAGCCACTGCGATACGGAGCTCAAATTGCCGTTTGAGTTTATGTTATTATTCAAAAATGATACGCATAGGTAGGTACGCGATGACGCCGTCTCGCATTGCATCACTCGAGTGCGTATGTGTGTGCGCACTAGCTTCTTACTGTTCATCACAGCGTCTATCCCTTTCGCACGTGATGTCGGCTGAGATAGCATGCATTTTTACCCCGCCCACCACTTAGTTCGTGCCATAGACTAGGGCAACCTTAAGTGTTCGACATTGACAATACAAACGTAAACAATGAATGTGTAATGTATTTGTAGCAAATCATATCTAATATATTATAACAAGTCATATTTGTTTGTTCGTATTTAATGCACGGCCATACCGTTCGTTCATCAGATTCCATCAAAAATTTGTCAACTTATTGCTTATATTTACGCGAAGGTTATAAGTATAGTACAATTAACTAACAGTAGGTGGCGCGCGTATCGTACCGACAAATTTATTTGAAATTTATATATCATTCAACTTCAATGGATCTATTTTTAAGGAATAATTAATAAATAATAATTAACAATTATCATCATTTTTATTAAACAATATAACTCTTCCAAAAAAACTATATTTCCACAATTATTTCTGTAGTGGCAGCAACGTACCGGGTACCAGTTAGTTATATATAAATGTCAGCTTTCTGTACTAATAATTAACTTCTCAATGCGCGCAAATTATATAAAAAAGAGTACGAAACTTAACATTCTAAGAATTCGAAACTTAACATTCTAATTCTAAGAATATTTAGGAGTTAAAACAGAAAACTCCTGAACAAGCTACTATTAGTCCATAATAGTCTAGACGCCATGGATCATGCGCATTATTGAAAGGATTTTTTGCATAATTTCTATATCAGGCAGGTGAATTGGCAATCGCAGCACCTGACTCAGTTCACTACTCATACTTAAATTATTTCTACGTGGATTTGACAGTCTATTGAAATTGAACTTACCTGGTACGACGTTAGGGTATTTTTTGATTAGCTTTTATCTTAAGCTTTGTTAATAAAGCATACCAAATCTATTCACAATTGCTTATATTTTATATCAATAATAATATGAACAGTGGCCTAGTAAGACATCTACTACCACGAGCCTACCTCCGTTCCTCGAAATGTAGTGCCAAGGAAGAAAAGAAAAGAACTAGCTCTCTTGTCACCAGTATAGTCAGATTGATAATAGAGATGTATTATACAATTTAAAAAATATCACTACATAAATAAAGTTAATTGGTTTAAGTAAAGTGAATAGAAGAAAATAGATTTTTTTTAATTTTAATAATTATTTTTTATTTGAATAATGTGTGTGTTCATTGAGCATAGTGCTAAGGTCCTCCAGCGATTCTGCCATAAGGACTATATCGTCGCCAAATCGAAGGTGAGTGATGTACTCGCCATTGATGTTAATACCGTATCCTTTCCAGTCCAGTAGCTTGAAAACGTCTTCCGTCTTCCAACGCAGCGGTGAAGAGTTTCGGGGATATAACGTCACCCTGTCTTACACCTCTCTGCAGTTGGATAGGTTTTGAACTCTGGTTCTGTACTCGGATAGCCATCGTAGCCCTACTGTACAAACACTTCAGCACTTCGATATACCGACAGTCAACTTGGCACCGCTGAAGGGACTGTAGCACCGCCCAAATTTCGACGGAATCAGAGGCTTTCTCATAGTCCACATACGCCAGGCAAAGTGGCAGATTGTACTCTTCGGTCTTCTGTACAATCTGCCGCAGGGTATGTATGGTCTATGGTACTGAAGCCTTTTCGGAAACCGGCTTGTTCGGGAGGCTGGAAGTCGTCGAGTCTGCGTGCGAGACAATTCGTAATGACTCTCGAAAACAGCACGTAGACGCGGCTCAGAAGGGAAATCGGTCTATAGTTCTTCAAGAGAGCGTTGTCGCCTTTCTTAAAGAACAAGACCACCGCACTTCTGCTCCACGCCTCCGGAGTAGTGCCACCATGGAGGACGGAATTGAAGAGCTTCTGAAGGACTTCAAATACCGGTGTTCCACCCGCTTTCAGAAGCTCCGCTGTAATTTCCACCCTCGCCTGGGGCCCTGCCGTTTTTAAGGTGCTGGAGAGCCATTCTAATCTCGCTCAGACTGACGTCCGGGATATCATCGGAATAGTGTCGGGTAAGATTTGCTCTTGGATCGTTACTCACACTTGCGTGTGGCTCAAACGATGATGTGTACAGCTGCCCATAGAACCTCTCAATCTCACTCAAAATCTCAGGTGTCCCGGAAGCGATGCTGCCACACTCAGTCTTCAGCTTTGACAGTTGGCTCTTTCTGGCAGACAGATCTCTGACAAAGACTTTGGAGCCCTGGTTCCGCTCGATCGCTTTTTTAATACGAGCAGTATTAAAGTTGCGTAAGTCTCGCCGTATGCCTTTGGAGATTTGTCTGTTCAGTTGCCTGTATGCTGTCAAATCTGTTGACGATTGCAGCCTCATCTCCCGTCTAACAGCCATGAGATTAAGAGTGTGATCGGAGAGTTTTTGTTTTCTTCTGCGGCGGGTCTTGCAGAACTTAGCTCCGACCGCATGGACAGTTTCCACGAGCTTGCCATTCATATCGTCCACTGCATTGCAATCTTGGCAGTTGTTGGCAGCAGTTGGCGTAGGCACTGAAAGCGGTTACGTAACTCGAGCTGAAAAGTCTCGGGATTCTGGATTAGAGCACGAGGGAGACGGAGCGTTGACTTCATTAGACGAGACCTCTCCAACTTAACGTGTAGGTTCAGTGTGCCTCTAACCATTCGGTGATCGCTGCCGGTTTTCACCCTTGCGATCACTGGAACATCACTGAACAGTTGGCGTCTGGTCGTCATAATGAAGTCAATCTCATTTTTTGTCGAACCGTCGGGGCTCGACCAGGTCCACTTCCTGTGGGGCCGCTTCAGGAAGAAAGAGTTCATCATAAAGAGTCCCTCTTTCTCCATAAAGTCAGCCAGCTGCTGGCACCTATGGATCCGTTGCCCTACTCCAAATTTCCCTAACTTCAGCTCAACGCCTTCTCTTGTGCCTAGTTTTGCGTTGAAGTCTTCCATCAACACCGTGTAGTGGGTTTTGGAGGAATGCATGGCTCTAGAAATATCCTCATACATTTTCTCCACCTCCTCATCGGGATGGTCCGAGGTTGGTGCGTAGACCTGTATGACCTTCAGCGAATACCGTTTGGTGATTCTGAGTATCAGGTACGCGACCCTGTCGACACACTCCCAATCTTTACAACGTTGTTGACGAGACACTTGTGGACGATAAATCCGACACCTCCTTGGGACAGATGGTCGTCCTCCCGGTGATAGAACAAGTTGCCGGACTCGAGGATTACCGGGTCCTCCCCCTCTCTTTGGACCTCAGATAATCCAATAATATGTCAGCGTAACTTGTCTACCTCTTCTTCGGGCACCAGTATCTTCTCGTCAGTCCTCAGGGTGCGTGCGTTATACTTTGCCAGGTCGAGTCGTCGTAGGTGGCAACCGAACCTCCACCGGAGATTCTTAGCACCCCCTGCCCCGCCGTTACCATGGTCGCCACCGTAGCCAGGAATAGCGGGGCCGCCGGGGACTGGGGGCCGTTTATTTGCGTCGTTGCTCATGGGGGGATATTTGCCATAGTTGCCACGCTTGGCGAGCGGGTTGGCAAACGCAGTTTTTTATTATGTTATTGTTGTTATTAGGAAGATGCTGCTGCCCATCTCCTTTCTGTGTCCCTCTGTCGCCTCTTACGACACCCACGGGAAGATATGGGGTAGTAGATATTCTCAACCACCACTACACGGCTGGCACCGCAAGCTAAAATATAAATAGCAATAATTTTAAACAATGAATGGGCTAGACGATGAAGTCACAATGCTAAGAATGAGTAGTGTTTCAGATTACTGCGGCATTATGCTGAATGGTGACTATTTCCGTGTAGCATTTATGAGTAGCACAGACGCTAAGCGCTCGCTGTAACTTTCAGAGTACGCGAGCAACCCAGGTTCGATCCCACCAATAAAATTGTTAATTGCAATTATAAGTGCTGATTTACCACGTGCTCGGCGGAGAAGGAAAACATCTTGAGGAAACCTGCATGTCTGAGAACTAAGAAAAAAAAAGACTCAAGTCAAGTTCGCCCACACGCATTGACGCACGGACATTTCTTTGCCCTAAAACCCTCCCAGAAATTAAGGAAGGCTTGTGCCCAGCAGTGGGATGTATGGGACTTTTCTTTACTTTTATTTAAGATTAACAATATTAAGATTATAATTACCATTTTGTCTTTGGGCTCCTTGGTATTAAGATTGCAGAGCGTCCCGCGCTTGTATTCGTCGCCGCAGACGTAGCACACCTCCGTCATGGAGTTCTTGTCCGGCATAGACAAGTCCAAGATATCACGGTCCGAGCTGGAGTTGGAGTTGCCTGAATACACCGACACCGTCGACCTGGAAATTAAGAGGGGAATTTTTTAGTCCAAAGGGCAAGAAGTTTAGTCAAACGTTTTTTATTAACCGCTAGTCCGATTACCGAACGTATCCTGAAAATCACACTACGGGTGAGTGCACTGGTACAGTTAATTAAGCAGAAAACGAATAAGGTAATTCTTTCAAGGTCAATATTTAGTTATATTGCAAATACAATTGGTCATTTTGATTTTAAAGCGTCATCTACTTCTGAATTCTTAAAACTATTTAGTATTGAACTCATGTTATGAAAATTTTACGAAAATCGTTTGAAACCACGTCACACGAACGTTATCTCTGCTTTAATAATACCCACTTTAGCAGGATCAAATTATCTCTGAAAATCAATTATATATAAAGTATAGTAGTTGCTTATGTGCAGAAAGAGATTTTACTTTTATCAGAACAATATCAACTATAATGTTTTATAGCACCCCCACAAATTCGTCAATATTGCCTTCAGTATCGTGTAGCCGTCCATATGATCACTTAATTCATTTACGTATTTGCGCTGGACGTTAAGAAGATTACAGCAGCGGTTCACAGTAAACTTATTTAAACACAGAGTGATCGCTGGGATCGATCGATGAGTGTACGCTGGATTGTGTGGACAGTGGACAATGAGAAAGACAAATGTTTCGACAAACTCCTTTGATATTAGTTCAAAAACCGCCAACACAGCAGAAGAAGTTTCTCTACACTCACCATAAAAAACACAGCAGCATTGAGCTGCTATTTTACGCTGATATTCCGACCCATTCATGCTACTACCGAAATAAAGCTGCAGCGTGGCTCTACCATGACACGAAATTAAATATTGGCAAATATCAACGTTTACAAGCGAATACGTTCTTCACACATTCGTATTCGCCGAATATTTACAAAATGTGGAGGCCTAATTGTATAAAAATGTTTATGTAGGAGTATCATACGGAACTATCCCCTGTTTAATTTTCTTCATACCAGGTTGATTGAAATTTATTTTATAGCTTATATTACATACTGCCCATTTTTATTTTAGGGCCGTTTTATAATCTCTTCATACAACTATAGTTTTTATCCGAGGTTTCTTTTATCCGAGGATTGAAAAATCGACCCTGGAAGAAATACATATATGTATATAATATATACAATATGTAACGTAATTAACGCACACCCTCAGACACCCCAATTAGTATATTATGTTATAATCATAATACATACACTGAATTTTTAGTTAAAACATTTTTATGCACTGATTATTTATCAAATTAGTTATACTAATTCCGGAAGAATGTTGTGGTCACAGTACAAATCCACGAACGCAAAGACTTTAACGTGCTTGAAATAAAGTTCATTTTTATTTATTTTTATTGAATGACAGAATTAATAATAATACAAATAGAACTGCACTCTTAAAAGTCTTATTGCCTTAAATTACGGTCCATTTCACTTTGTTTTGACTGTACAGATTTTGTGTGACTGTAATTTACGTAGTTTTAATTATTTTTGGGATACAAAATTACCTATATTAAAAATGATAAGAATCGATTCAGTAAACGATTCTGAACAAACTACTTTCTCAAAGTGCGTTAATTATGTTACATGTTGTATACTATAATTGTTCCGATGCAGGTCATCGATTTCTTTTTAATTTTGTGAAGGTAAAAAGGTCGTTTATGAGAGGCTGTGATAATTGAATGAACGAGGTCGTTTTTCAGTTATTGTACATAAGCATTAGAAAACAAGAAATACATATCTGCAGATAGTAAAAAAGATTTTTAACAAAAATTCTTGCCTGAGCCATATACATCTAAAGTCTTCAATATATTGACCGGGTTATAGATTTTATTACATAAGCAAGATAAGATGAGGTTTAGGTTTAATGGTGATGTCACTGTCTAAACTTCAATATTCACGACACCGTCATAACATGCTGCCATTTTTACTTACAATTGATGAAATTTCAAGGGAAACACTAAATATAATAAGAATTTATAACAGAGAAAGAAATCATTATCATCAATAGGTTAAGTCTACTGGTAAACATTAGCTTCTCGGCAGGCAGTTGACATGCTGGTGATTGTTCTGATTTGTTATTAGGAAAACGCCACTGCCATTCTCCTGTTTCATTTCCTTCTGTCGTCTCTTAAAACACCCACAGGATGATATGGGTTAGTGGTCTCTCTTACCCAACCTAAAAGTGTAACCGTGTTATACCTTCATGTTACATAAGAGTCCTATCCCTATATATAGTGGTAGTATACAACGTGGTAGAGCCATGCTGCAGCTATAATTTTGCTTGTAGCACGAACGAGTCGGTTCGACCGAGGAAGGACCACGCCGTCGCAGAATACCAGCGTGAAATAGCAGCTCAATGCTGCTGAGGTAGGTGTAGAGATCCAGAGACCCTTTTTACTGGACATGAGGCATTCCATCTTAGTCCTAGCAGTAAATGTCTATGGATTTATATTCCTGTATGTAGCATGAGAGTCCTACAAGGGTTAGGGATGTTGCGTTCCCTGAGTTGCGTCTGAAGCAGTTACCTGACAGCGTCGAGGAAGCCCACCGGCTCGGAGACGCCGGAGTGCTGCGAGCCCACCGAGATGACGGACGGATCGCGCGCGCGCAGGTCCAGCACGCCCTCCTCCTCGCCCCCCGCGTACCGCTGCTGCAGGGTAGGCGAACGCCGATTTTTAATCAACACCTTCAGTAATCCTTTCTGAGAATGCAGATATCATTTTAACGTATTTATTTGTCCTTTAGAGTGACAGCTGTTTGTCGACATCAATATGTAATAAATGATTTGGTATCTACCATCCTTCTACCCAGTTGAATTCTTAGAAACAAATGGTCTCCTAAAAACCAGTAAATAGAGATGGTATCAAAGTATTAAGTGAGCCTTTTATATTCTTTTGTTGTAGAGAATGCAATTCACAATAAAAATAAATAAATAAATAGACCACAATAGTACTGTCATATTTTTTATCTTTATTACTTGGATGCTGTAATAGTCGACTAAGTAATGCCAAAAACATTGAATACTAATTGGCTTTAGACAAACAGCATAAACATTTTTTGAAGTAAATCATGTTAATTCAACAGTTGACTTTACGATTTGATGATTATAATAATTATTCACGTAAATAAACTGTGGTCTGTATGTTGTTACACTACGAAAACGTAGGCCTGATTATCACCATAAATTTTATCTTATTGAATATTTATCAAATAATATGATTGCTTTTTTCAAACGTAGGAGGGTAATCTGCTGACCTATGTTCTTCTTTGTCACAATAACATAAAAAGATTAGGGAACACCTTTTAGCTTCCAGTATATCTACACTTCAAAACAGTTTTAATGCCCAAATTATATCCTTGCAATATTACATTTATAGCATATTCTGTTATTAAAGGGTCTGCAAACATACCAAACAATCCCGCTAGGTTTCTTGCTGGTTCTTCCCAGGTCAGAGGTATTTTCCGAACCACCGGTTTTTAAGATTCAAATCCGGTTTTTTCGGATTTTAGTGAAAATTGAGTTTACCAAAGCCAACAAAGGTCGCCACTCCATCTAGTGGGGGGTTGCCCTACACTACGCCTACCGGTACGAAGCTGCCACTTCAGAACCATTTTTCTCCATCGCTTGTCGGTTCTTCTAGCTATATGGCCGGTCCATTGCTACTTCAACTTACTAATCCCTTAGGCTATGTCGGTCATTCCGCTTTTACTGCGGATATCCTCATTTTTAAGTTTATCACGCAGAGAAACCCCGAGCATAGTTCTTTCCATAGCTAGCTGAGCGACCTTGAGTGTCCTTATACGACCAGCAGTGAAAGACCACGTTTCAGATCCATAAGTAACCACTGGCAACACGCACTGGTTGTACAGTCTCGTTTTTAGGTTTTGAGGTACCTATACCTGACGAGAACATGTGTTGTAATTAACCGGACGCTGCCTAGATGAGTTGAATCCGTCGATTAACCTCTCGTTCAAAGTTGGACTTACCTAGTCGGACTATTTGTCCCAGGTAAACTCACTCAACAACTTCGAGCTTAGTGATCCCAACAACTACCGGCATAGGTGTGACATGGAAAATAAACAAGATCTTTGTTTTGTCCCTGTTCATCTTAAGACCTATGTGTTGGGAGACACTATTGAGTTCATTGAGCATAGTGCTTGGGTCCTCCAGCGATTCTGCCATAAGGACTATATCGTCGGCAAATCGAAGATGAGTGATGTACTTGCCATTAATGTTAATACCGTATCCTTTACAGTCCAGTAGCTTGAAAACGTATTCCAATACAGCGGTGAAGAGTTTCGGGGATATAACGTCACCCTGTCTTACACCTCTCTGCAGTTAGATAGGTTTCGAACTCTGATTCTGTACTCGGATATCCATCGTAGCCCTAATGTACAAACACTTCAGCTCTTCGATATACCGACAGTCAACTTGGCACCGCTGAAGGGACTGTAGCACCGCCCAAATTTCGACGAAATCAAAGGCTTTGTCATAGTTCACATACACCAGGCAAAGTGGCAGATTGTACTCTTCGGTCTTCTGTACAATCTGCCGTAGGATATGTATGTGGTCTATGGTACTGAAGTCTTTTCAGAAACTGGCTTGCTAGGAAGGCTGGAAGTCGTCGAGTCCGCGTGCGAGACGATTCGTAATGACTCTCGAAAACGGCACGTAGACGCGAGAGAGCGTTGTCACCTCTCTTGAAGAACAAGACCACCGTACTTCTGCTCCACGCCTCCGTAGTGCCATGGAGGACGGAATTAAAGAACTTCTGAAGGACTTCAAGTACCGGTTTTCCATCCGCTTTCAGATGCTCCGCTGTAATTCGAATCTCGCCTGGGACCTTGCCGTTTTTAAGGTGCTGGAGAGCCATTCTAATCTCGCTCAGACTGACGTCCAGGATATCATCGGAATGGTGTCGGATAAGACTTGCTCGTGGATCGTTACTCACACTTGCGTGTGACGATCACCCAACGATAATGTGTACAGTTGCCCATAGAACCTCTCAATCTCACTCAAAATCTCAGGTGTCCCTGAAACGACGCTACCACACTCAGTCTTCAGCCTTGACAGTTGCCTCTTTCTGACAGACAGACCTCTGGCAAAGACTTTGTAGCCCTTGTTCTGCTCGATCGCTTCTTCAATACGAGCTGTATTGAAGTTGCGTAAGTCCCGCCGCGTGCATTTGGAGATCTGTCTGTTCAGTCCTGTATGCTGTCAAATCTGCTGACGACTGCAGCTTCATCTCCCGTCTAACATCCATGAGATTAAGAGTGTGATCGGAGAGTTTTTGTGTTCTTCTGCGGCGGGTCTTGCAGAAATCAGCTCCGACTGCATAGACAGTTTCCACGAGCTTGTCATTCATATTGTCCACTGCATTGCAATCTTCTAGGCACTGAAAACGGTTTTGTAACTCAAGCTAAAAATTTTCGGGATTTTGGATTAGAGCACGAGGGGACTGAGTATTGACTTCATTAGACGAGACCTCTCCAACTTAACGTTTAGGTTCAGTGTGTCTCTTAAACACTGTTGTATGTGTAAATTAAAAAAGTGACTTCAATAAGTATTTTTATAATCTACATTGAATAAAAAAGTTTCTATATCTATTTCTATTTCTATTCGGTGATCGCTGCCAGTTTTCACCCTTACGATCACTGAGACATTACTGAACAGTTGCCGTCTAGTCGTCATAATGAAGTCCATCTCATTTTTTCTCGAACCGTCGGGATTCGACCAGGTCCACTTTCTGTGGGGCCGCTTCTGAAAGAAAAGAGTTCATCATAAAGAATCCCTCTTTCTCCATGAAGTCGGCCAACTGCTGGACCTTGCCTTATCCCAAATTTCCCTACTTTCAGCTCACCGATTTTTCTTGTGCCTAGCTTTGCGTGGAAGTCTCCCATTAACACCGTATAGTGGGTTTTGAAGGAATGCGTGGTTTTAGAGATATCCTCATGCGTTTCCTCCACCTCCTCATCGGGTTGTACCGACGTTGGTGCGTAAACCTGTATGACCTTCAGTGAATACCGTTTGGTAATTCTGATTATAAGGTACGCAACCGTCGTCGACACACTCCCAATCTTTATAAAGTCTTTAACGAGAGACTTGTGGACGATAAATCCGACACCTCCGGGACAGATGGTCATCCTCTCGGTGATAGAACGAGTTTCCGGATTCGAGAATCACCGCGTCCTCCCCCCTCTCTTCGGACCTCGGATAATCCTATAATATTCCAACACAACTTGTCTATCTCTTCTTCCGCTCCAGGATTTTCGCGTCAGTCCTCAGGCTGCATGCGTTGTGATTTGTCAGGTCGAGTCGTTTTAGGTGGCAACTGAACCTCCACTGGAGATTCTTATAGCATCCCCTGCCCTGCCGTTACCATGGTCCGGCGGCCGTCTATTTGCGTCGTTGCTCATGGGGGGTATATTGCCATAGTTGCCACGCTTGGCGAGCGGGTTGGTAACTGCAGTTTTTTGTTACTTTTATCAGGAAGATGCTGCTGCCCATCTTCTGACTGCTTCCCTCTGTGGCCTTTTACGACACCCACGAGAAGACATGGGGTAATGGATATTCTTAACCACCACTACACGGTTTTTGTTTATTTTGGTTGATTTTATTCCGTCGTGTCAGAATAAATGCAGATTTTAACTGATTTATGCTGTTTTATTTTAGTTTTATCAAATCACCCTAAAACTTCTAAAAATCCCTATTATCCGGATTTTAATCACAGAAAAATTCAAAAATTCGGATTTCAAAAAAATCCGGATTTTGCAATCTCTAGTTCTACTCTACTACTGTTGGCCAGAAGTTTTCTATCATATCTAGGAGACTAATGGATCTGATAGGAATACACCACGCTTCAACAATGGGAGAAATTTGTATCTACCTCCAACGCTTTCCTTGTTTATAAACTGCAGGTTTACCGGGATAAAGTGTTACAACACAGTTAACAATAAAAAATATTACGAGTGTTTCATCTGTTACATGATCCGATCAGGGATCCTATTCCATGTCTACTAGAATGTGAATTACTTACGTTATTAAACTTGGCGTTGTGGTTGGTATCGAGATCCTTGGGGCGCGGCGTGGTGGGGAGTGCGGCGCTGGTAGTGGTTGTGGGGGGCGCGGGAGGTGGCGGCTCAGCAGCGCGTGCCGCAGTCGCGCTTGTGGCGCCCACAGCTCCCGGAGTCCCAGATTCATCTCGACCTCCCGTCTCCGCGCCCAGGCCCAAAACCTGCGCAGCGTACTCCCCTTGGAACGACATGTCCGCGCCTGAAATTTAACGCGCGTTAATTACGTTTGACTAATTGTTCTGAAGATGAGTTCAGCTACATTATAGTCATAGCACGACCGGGGTAGGACCCCGCTCTCACTAACTACCAGCCTGAAACAGCATAATAATGCTTTGTTTATTATAGTAAGCTTAGAGAACCTGAGACCCTTCTTACAGAAAAAAAAAAAAAAAAAAAAAGGTAGCGAGGCATTCTATCTAAGTCTTCAAGTGTGACAACGCATCTATTCGCGACGATACACAAAGTGAATAAACATAGTGAAATAATACTAGCTTTTACGGAATATATCGCGTATATATTTAGCTTTTTAAATACCCGACGTTTCGAGCGCTTTACAGAACCCATGGTCACGGAGGGGACTGAGATGTTCAACGTCCGGATGTCATAGTTAACCGCGGTTACCATAGATTAAAATTTAACTTTTGTTCCGATCTACATCGCGATAAATTCCGTAAAAACTAGTATTATTTCAATGTTTAGTGTTCGCGTAAATATAAGAAATCATTATGAATAAACATAATGTTAAAAACGGCCCACAAACAATTGAATTAAAGAGAATCGATGCACCCAAATAATCTTAAAATTTGGGATATTCTAATTAATAACTTTTCAGACTCTTAATTTATTAGAAAACCTTTATAATTCTCTGATAGAGGATTAAATTATCAATCTAACCCTGTATAATACATAAGCATAAGAATGAATCATATATAGTAAAAATGGTAAAATATGATAATTTTATAGTAAAAAATAAAAAATACAAAATACAGGCAATGGGAAGCGGCTCATTTTACGATAAAGCTCTCCGGGGCTTTATCGTAAAGTAAGCTATCTGAGCGGCTCCGGCGCTCAGTTAATTCGTTAGACATTCGTTACCGAACTACAAGAATCAAAGTTAAGAAATCTTCTGAAAAACATATGGAATGGTTAAAGTTACAACCTTACTCCTACGTCCCAGTGGTGGGCACAGGCCTCCCTTCATTTCTGAGAGGATTTTAGGGCAAGGAAGTGTCCGCCGCGCCCGTCCGTTGCCCCAATAAGTGTTGGTGAACTTCACATGTCTTCGAAATATTTTTTTCTTATTCCTCAGATATGCAGGTTTCCTCACTATGTCTTCCTTCATCGCCGAGTACATGGTAAATCAGCACTTAAAATTGCAATTAACAATATCATTGGTGCCGGCGGGGATCGAACCCGGGTTACTCGCATTCTGTTGTATTTACAGCGAGCGTTAACCATCTGAGCTACCACGGCTCTCCTTCTGAGCTACCCCACGGCTCTATGGAACGGTTAACAGCAAACAAATTAGGGTGACCAACCGATAGTGACCAACCGTAGTCTCCGACCGATAGTCAGAAAATTTCCGCGACTAGTTGATCAGTTGAACCACTGGCCACCGCCTTACCATAAATATCAATAATTCGTGCATTCTTATTAGACACCCATCCATAGTACCCAGTCGCACCCACCGACGGTTGACCAACCCCGATAATATATATATAGGTACAGGACGTCAGCGGTTCTTCTAGTAATTTCGCTAACATTTACTCCGCCAATTTCGCCCGTCCGGCACGGTAACTGCATTTTTATTTTCATAGAGGATAGATGTTTATGTGTACGTACGTGAGCCACAACATCTACTTACCATCCATCAGGTGGACTATGTGCTCGCGTGTTTCCATTATTTTATAAAAAAACACCTCCGAAAAAATTTAAAAGCACCTCTCGCTCCCCCTCCTCCATTGCGTGCACTATCCCCTACATCACTAATCCTAACACCACTCCACTAGGAAAGATAAACTACGGTCGATAATAAAACACGTGATTTGCCTCTAAACGGCAGCCTCAGGTGATAGCCTGCCTGCGGTGGTCGATCGCTAAGGTAAGATTTCAGCTTGAAAAAGACGCATTTGTAGTTCCCCTTCCGAAAAAGACAAATCCCTGTAGTTTTTCTGATTATAGACCTATCTCTATTTTGCCTTTCTTTTCCAAAGTTCTAGAACGTCTTGTGCACAATCAATTAAGCCCCTATCTTTTAAAACACAATCTTTTAAATCCCTAGCAATCCGGTTTCCGTCCTGGCCATAGTACGACTACTGCACTTTTACAAATCACTGATGATATTCGGTATGGTATAGAGAAAAAAAAGCTTACCATTCTCACGTTGCTTGATTTTAGTAACGCATTTAATACTGTAGATTTTGATATCTTGTTAAGCATCCTACGCTCTCTCAACATATCTCCAACTGTAGTTGACTGGTTTCGAAGTTACTTGTTTGGTCGCCGACAGCGAATTCAGGTGCAAGAGGTTTTTTCCACCTGGACTACTACAGCTGCTGGTGTACCACAAAGTGGCGTGTTGTCTCCTCTCCTTTTTGCAATTTTCATTAACTCTATAAGTCATAATTTGTCCTCTTCCTACCAATTGTATGCTGATGATCTCCAAATCTATACTCAGTCCTGTCTTGAAGATCTATCTAAGGCAGTTGAAACTATTAACGCTGATCTGACTTGTATTTCGAATTGGAGTAAATGTTATGGTTTAACGATTAATCCTAAGAAAACTCAGGTCAATGTCATCGGTAGTTCTCGATTAATTGGTAAAATTGACTGGTCTTCCCTACCCCCTATTATACTAGACTGCACTCTAATCCCTTACAGTAACAAGGTTAAAAACCTGGGGTTGTATCTTGACTCCTGTATGTCTTGGACCTCACAGGTTAGTGAGGTCAGTAGAAAAATGTTTGCTGCGTTAAGCTCTTTACGTAGATTACGTAATTTCCTTGAAATAATACTAATTTTTACGGAATTTATCGCGTATATTTAACTTTTTTACCCGACGTTTCGAGAGCTTTACAGCACCCATGGTCACGGGAAGGACTGAGATGTTCAACGTCCAGCTGTCATAGTTAACCGCGGTTACCATAGATTAAAATTTAACTTTTGTTCCGATCTACACAGTATGAACTTATGGTATCATGGAGTCTTGCAGTTGTATGCTTGGGTTGGGATTTAATTTTATTTATTATAGGATCCCAAGCAGATGGTAGCACCCAGCCATCTTCTCTATTGAAATTAGGATATTTTTTGATTTCAATAGCCTCGCGAATCATCCTTGGAAGGAATCGGTGTTCTTTAGCGAGGATTTGTGGTCTATCAAATCTGATGTAGTGACGGGGGCGATCCTGTACATGTTCACAGACTGCAGACTTCCCGGAGCGTCGATTCTTCACATCAGCTATATGTTCTTTGACGCGGGTTTTAATTGATCTTTTAGTTTGTCCTATGTAGGAGAGACCACATTCACAATCAAGCTTGTACACTCCTGCATCTTGCAGAGGGACGTTACACTTGACTGATGGTAAAAACTGACCAATCTTCTTCGGCGGCTTGAAGTATGTTTTGATGGAAGCGCGCTTCAAGATTTAGCCAATCTTGTCAGTGACTCCTCTAACATATGGTAGTACAGCAGGTACACGCTCGACTGTGGCCGGCTTCACTCGTTCTCTGTGACGTAGGCGCAGGACCCGAAGCTTGTGGTCATGCAAAACTTGCTTGACATGTTGGAGCTCGGCAGCCAGGTGTTTACTGTCACAGATCCCTCGTGCTCTCTGAAACAAAGATTTACCCACGGTAGCTAACTGTGAAGGATGGTGGTGAGAATCACCGTTTAAATATCTATCTGTATGGGTCTTTTTTCTATACACAGTATGGCTCAAGGTGTTATCTGGACGTTGAACATCTCAGTCCTTCCCGTGACCATGGGTGCTGTAAAGCTCTCGAAACGTCGGGTAAAAAAGTTAAATATACGCGATAAATTCCGTAAAAATTAGTATTATTTCAATGTGTAGTGTTCGCGTAAATATAAGAAATCATTACGTAATTTCCTTCCCACAGCAACTAAAGTTACGCTGGCCCAGTTTCTACTTCTGCCTATCCTTGACTATGCTGATATTTGCTATCTTGACATTACCGAGGAGCAGCTTAATAAGCTTGAGCGCATTCAAAATTTATGCATTAGATTTATATTTGGGCTTCGCAAATATGATCATATCTCCGAATTTCGCAAACAGCTCAAATGGCTCCCGATCCGCCTTCGCAGGAATACTCACATTCTCTCCGCGTTGTATAGTGTGCTGTTTAATCCTTCTACTCCTCTTTATTTAAAAAACCGTTTCCAGTATCTTTCTCTTACCCATAATCGGTTCCTTCGATCCTCCGTCAATCTTTCTCTCTCTACCCCTTTGCACTCTTCTTCCTTTTTCAAGAAATCCTTCACCGTAACCGCTGTGCGATTGTGGAACTCCTTACCTCTCCATATTCGTCGTGCTAAATCTCTTCACTCTTTCAAAAGTCTTGTTAAATCGTATTATTTAGAACGCTATTAGATAAATTACTTTACCTTTCTCGTACTCTTTTCATTTAATCTATTATATGATATTTTATATATAGCTTTCACTTATTTTTATATGTATGTATTATTATATTATTAATTCTTTTTATTATTATTTTGTATGTCCCCCTCTATTTGTAACTTTTATTTGCATCATTCCTCTACGCAAAGGTTGTCTGGAAGAAATCACTTTCAGAGTGATAAGACCGCCTATTGTACATACTTTAAATTAGTTTTAACTATATTGATGTTTCTGTATTGTGGTGTACAAAAAAGAATAAATAAATAAGATCTCATTACGGCGGGGGTGCTCTTCGAACTAAGTGAAATATATCATATTATTTTAGTACGCGGATCCTAGCTAATTAATTCATAACATCTGTAATATGACGGATATTTCCTTCACCAAAATTCAGAGACGAAATTCGCAATAACATAACTTCATAAGAATTTCTTTAACCAAAAATATGTCATATTTGTAAAAACAACTCGCAACTAATTGGCCGTTAATTAGCGAATATAAACCAATGGTCAGGTCAGGTAGATAACTACAGTGAGGCAATCGGTGGCACAGATGAGGTAAAACA